TCATGATTGACCGAAATGAAAGGCAGGTGTGTGGAAATGTGGGCGTGAGCGGTGACAACGTACAGCATATTCCTGCCTCAATCGGACCTACGGCCCTCGGAAGTTGGCCAGTATAAAATACGAAACTGGGGAGAGAGATGACCTCAGCTGTGCTCACCCATCTGAATCTCGCTGTAGTGCTGGCACTGTAGCGTTTTGCGAGTCAATAGCTCAACCACCTAAACCCTCTTCATCACATTGCAATGCGTCTCGTCTCGTTGTTTGCCTTCCTCGCCGTCTTCAGCGTGGTGTCTTCTCTTTCAATTCCTGTTCATAGAGATATCGCTGCGCACCTTGGGTACGTCCTTGCCTTCTATAATACCCTTGCTGTTCTCACAATTCCTAGTACGTCAACTGCTTCGACTCTGCAGGCACGGAGCCCGGTCCACGTGACCTTCCACTCTGGAACGAAGGGGCGTTTGAGGAGCTTAAAAATCAGACCGAATACTGCCAACCATGCACATGTCACCCGATGGCACGAAAGCGCAGTCAAAGCCCATGTCGCCCAGCACTTCCCAGAAGCCCATCAAGTCACAATTAGGTAGGTCCATCTCCGAGCAGTCTGTGTGACAAGAAAGATAGCTCACAGATCCACAGGAAGCTGGTGCATCAATATGGATCCAATGATCCCCAACCTCACATTGTAGTTATGATGAAGAAAGCGAACGGAAAGAAGATCATGAACGATAAGAATGGGGTCTGGCACCATGTCCCTGTTGACGCAGCTCATATTCCTCAACCGTACATGGATGCTCTAGCAGCCAAAGGTCACGTGTTATAATGAAGACGTGGTGCAGAGGCTAACTCACCGGTATTTTCTGACACTTATGGTTCTATCATATAATAAATTTCTTCTGCAATGGTGTTTTCTTGCTTTCTCCATGATGTGCGTCATGTATGGTGAAGATCTATCTCTCAGTGACCCTGTGCCTTGTGTGCCCGATCGCTTACCAAAACCCTGGATATATAGTTCACTTTCTGGTACTTGAGAAATTCTGGAACGATGCCAGCGGCGCACCCAAGAACCCTCTGGCGCTTTGAAGTCCACTTGAGCCTGCGTTCCCACGGGTTGTGGGTCCACTTCGCCAGTTCAATAAATTTGATTCGGACATTTCATCCCTCCACGCACTTATGAGCAGAGAGCACACGCATGCTCTCCTCGCGGCCCTTTGTCCATGTTGGGGCGTTCGATACCCTCGCTGACCTGTTCCAGAGTTGTTGCAGAGGTCCGAGCGTTCACATGGACCAGAGCATAGCCTAGTCGCGATCCCAACCTTCTCGGACACTCCGTTCTTCCTGTCTCTCCTTTCGCAGGCGGGGCCGCGATAAAAACCCTGTTGGGCTGGCGTCTTGCTCTTTGACCACGATGCCTGCTCTCCTTCGAACCCACCCCAATACCACGCTCACCAAACCTCGAGACATTACCGCGTGTCGACTCCAAAACCGCCTGCTCCCCGCTCTCCAACTGTGCCCAGACCTCCTCGAATATCTTTTCTTGCTTGGTGCCAGCCTCGAAACCGAGGACTACCACCGCAGGCGCGCTGTCCTTGCCTACTCTCAAGTATGCCACGACTGGAGGACCACTGCACTTGCTACGAAGTCACTCTGGGTGCAACTCACCGACTTCGACGATATGTCTTGGCGATGGAATGAGGAGATGTTACATCGTTCTCACCCCCTTCCTGTCGAGGTCGGCTCGTGCACATTCCCAGCACGCGAGACGAACGTGGTATCCTCGGAGATGGGATACCTTGGAAGGATCCGGACGTACCGGCTGGGGTTCGCAGATGAGGCCTGGGATATTCTCGAGAAGAAGCTGCAAGAGCCAGCAGAGAAGCTGGAATGCCTCAGCCTCGCGTATGTCCCACTTCATCCTTCGAAGACGAATCGACCGTGGTACATCCTCCCTCGGAACTTATTCGACAATCGCGCACCGCAGTTGAGGCGGCTGAAACTCGAAGGTTTCACCTTGGATTTTGGAATCGACGCACCTGCCCCTCGCTCGCTGACGTCATTGAGCGTGCTCAACCTCGACGCCAGTCACAAATTAGCGCCCAGCGCCTTCGACTGGATCGCTCTCGTCTCTACGCTACCCTTCCTCACCAACCTCTTTCTCAAAGACGCCATTTCTCCAGTGACATTTCTTTCTATCCCCCGTGCTCGGCTCTCGACGATACCGTCTTCGAAAATCCATCTCTCCCGCCTCGCGTCGCTGCATTTGGAGGCCAGTACCAGTGCCGTGGGAGCATTCCTCAAATTCGTTATCCTTCCAGCAGTAAACGATCTCAGCGTAACATGCTCCGATGCGCAACCAGGAGCGGAGATGGAAGACGTTTTCGAACCATTTTTTGACGTTCTTGGAAGGGCTATCCGAAGACAACGCGAGAAGGGCAACATATCTCTTCCCCTTCTCCTCTACGCCCGTACTTCCAGCATCTCCGTTTGCACGGATGAACGCGTTCTCGGACACGAAAAGGATATTTCGTACCCATCTTCCTCGACGTCTTCCTTCAACTTCTACCTTGACTTTCACGCTCGCCTTTCGGGCTGTTGGGAATCGCTCCTCACACCTATTCTTTCCGCATTCTCCAATCCCGCTCTATGCAACGATCCTCTTTCTCTGAATAGCGGACTCGTATCCCATATCACCTCACTCGAGGTCCTTCTACCTTCCTGCCATCCCGCTCTCGCACCTTTCCTGCGCAAAGCTACGCATCTCGAGGCACTTGTCAACCTCCCAGCGACGCTAATTAAGAACCTCCTTCCTGAACTTAGATTCACCCCGCCCCATCGTTCCCACTCACCTTCTCCATCCAACACCTCAAACACCTCCTCGTCGTACACCCTTGCGCCTCTGCCGTCCATACCGGATGTCCCACTCCCACACTTGCACACGATATCATTCAACGACGACAAATCTGCCTGGGGTGTACCGTACGGGACGCTCCTCTCGTATCTGCGTTGGCGCTCCGAGGACGCCGAAGCCCCGCTCAGTCGGGTGGTCTTCCGCCGATGTCTTCTGCTTGATGAAAAGGTTTCGGAGCTCGAGGGCATTGGCGTCAGGGTGGAGTACGATGGTGAAGGGGTAAGATGGCAGAATTTCTGATGGTGGACGCTTAAGCTATTGGAGCACGGTCGGTTCATGACGTCCTGACTGGGCGGGGGTGAAAGTTATCGGTATTACTACGGTTGACGGTGGGACAGCGAGATTAAGCATCATGGACAGACAGGGAATAAAGAGTACAAAAAAGAATGAGACAAGGTCATTGACTATACGTTCCATGACAAAGTCCATACATAGCACGGTCCATTTAACGTCCAAGCAGTCAGGAATTCGGGAGAAAATCAGTCCTGTCATTTCGAAGTTCTCGAAGATACTTTAACCCAGGCGTGTTCCGATACACAGAGCGCGAGTCCGTCCACATTCCAAGAATGAAGAGCAATCTACATGGAAGTAACGAGTCTGGCCGGCTAGTTATATAAATAATCAGACACTTTCAGCTATTCAGATAGAACCTCGCCCGTTTCAAGAGAAATGTATATTTCCTTTCCCTCCTCTCGAAGCTCTTTGAAGCGCGCTTCGACGTCGGCGCCAATTATATCTGACGCTTGGAGCCAGACGTCTTCGTCTCCTTCAAAAAAGGAGGAAAAAGTGAGCTCTAGAGAATACAACGGGCGAGGAAAAAAATCGCCGTCCTCGTCCTTCGGCGAGAAAATAGGAGGGATGGACGACCACTTGAAGCAGGGAATACCGCTCAAGCTGAGCACGCACAGCAAGGGCAGGAACACCTCGGACACCGGAGCGTTACTCCGTGTCAGCGACGTCGCAGCCAGGCGCTCGAAGAATGCATCGTGCACATCCAAACCCACTGCTTCGAGTTCGTTCAGATACGGTGTTTTCTCGAGCACCTCCGTGAAACTCTCTAGCGTTTCTTCAGCCGCGGTGATGGCAAGGCGACGAAGTTCGCACTTCGAGCGTGTGATGAACGCAGAGATGGCACGCAGGTCGGCCTTGCTTTCGAGAGTCTTCAGAGCGGGCGTTACCAGTTGACCAAGGAGCTTTCCTTGACCCGCTGGTGTTCTGCCAAAAATGAGTGTTTCTAGATGTGGGAGGCTGATCTGGGGAAGAACGGGTGGTTCTGTCGACACGGTGGCAATGTGGCCGATCTTGCACTCTGTCAGCTGCGGCGTGTGCTGGAGAAGTTCGAAGGCCTCGACGAGGAACAGAGAGACGGCCTCAAAATACGTCACCCCCGCCCAATCGAGACCAATTCGACCAGAGGACACGTCGCGAAGAAGCACCCTCTGAGGACTCGGGGAGGTGTCTGCTAATTGCATGCGTGGTGCGACACCTCTTCGACTGCTCGTGACGGATATATAGAGCTCTTGCAAGACAGGAGCTTCGCTACGCAGCAAGGGGAGGTATTGCGCGTCGAGATGCACCTCCAGGGTCTTCACACGATGCATGTGAGCATTGATGGCTTCGAATATGGGTGTGAAGTCGAAGGCGATAGGAGGCTGGTCCACGAATCCCCGGCGGCGCAAAGTCGCACTGAACCTGGCCCGCGGCCTTTCTTCGTAAATGTCCAGCGAGAGCGGCAGGCGACCCGACCGTCCCAGCCAATCTGCCGTCATATTGGCATACGCCGCGACAGCCCTTCCTCCTATCTTGACACCCGCGACATTCCAGAGGCGCGGGGTTGCAAAGGCGATTTGTCGCCAGCGCTGGCAGACGGCGGCCAAAGCCAGGGTGGTCGGTTTTATGCGAAAGGGTCGGGATGGGGGATCGGAATACGATTCGTACATCGGAATGGAGAGCGGGGATTCGAGGGAGAGACAATGAACGAAGATGCGGGATACGACTTCCACTGGGAGGCGTCGGACAAGCTGGTCGTGGTGTAGGTTGCGCTTGAGTTTGGCGTCGCAGCGTTTGAGGTAGAGCTTCAACAGAACCGCCCTCGTCTGTGAAATCTCGACGTCTATGTCTCCTATTTCCTTACAGCCCTGACAAGGTCCGTGGTCGGAGTTGGGACTGCAGCATTCTTCGCCGGAGATGTTGGGGTGCTCAACACGGCCCTCAATTCCGCACACGGTGCAGAGCATGTCTTCGATTTTAAGGGTAAGCAATCATGCAGGAGAGATGCTTTAGAGGCTCACGCACTTCATACAATTGCTTTTTCAAGCCGTGTTGGACGTCGACGCGTTTTTAGTGGAAGCAGACGAGAGACGAGATCATGATAGAGATTCAAATTCAAACATTCAATCATAAGCAACCACCACGGTGCGTCACATTCACGTGCCGAATGTCACGTCGAATTTGGAAAAGGGGCTTCACGCAAGGGTAAGTATGTGGTGAGAAACGTCGATTCTTGAGTTCGTCCTGTCTGTGTCCCGAAGAGTGCTCTTTATTTATTATACTCCGATCTGCACCGCAGGAGGGATCACCACAGCGACAGCAGTGATTTTGTTGCGCGCCAGTGCCAGGCTGTGACCGTGAGCAACGAAGGCTGTGCTTCAGGCTTGTCTTTCTCCTTCATCCACGCCCGGCAGTGCACAGTCAACTTCATGGCAGAACTTGGTGGTGCCGCCATCGGGGGCTTGTCCAACCTCGCCGCCGCCACCATCGCCCACTCCGCCAGCTTCTCCGCTCGACACGACCAATGCTACGAGCTGCAGGCTGAGCTGATGGAGAGACTGTCGCAGAACTTCGAGGTGCTGCGGCGGAAGGAGGATATCTGCGACACAGAATATTACACGTATTTGGAGATGAGGGAGAGGTACGTCCGTGCGTCGTGTGTGAGCCGATCCGACGCTTCTTTCGTTCTGTTCTGTTCTGTTCTGTTCATTGGAATTTGGCGTCGCGGGTTTCAGTAATGTGGTTGCCGCGACTTGACGTCTGCACCGTTTTACGTAGGGCAAAGGAGTCAGCCAGGGCCTACCGCGAGAGTATCCGCACATACAAAGACGTCGCTCTGTTGAACTTCCTCCGGAAACGCAAGGCGAAGCATCAGGTCCGGCAGATGAAGGAGGAGATGCGAGTGGCGAACCAGAGTCTCCGGGATCACTACCACGTAAGTTATTCACGAAAAGGGGGATGTTAGCTGATAAAGAGCTTCTACAGGATTCCATGTCGGAGTGCTTCGACGTTTCGTCCATCAAAGGCGAGTCGGGTTCACGACCTGGCTCTGCGCTCTACGGCGAGTTTATCAGAGAATGGGCGGACGGCGTACTGGTAGTGCCAATGCAGCAGGAGGAGGAAAATGTCGATTTCTTCGAGGAACAAAGTGTACATCGCATTGTAATTACAGCAATCCTTTGAAATTTGCGCCCCGAGCTCCCCGTTTTCTCAGTGCGGTAGCGGTAGCAGCGTAGGGAATCCCTCATACTTTCTCGTTGCGAAGCCTTAGTCGACTTAACATCTTCAGGCCGCTCATGAGCAACAAGAAAGGCATCCGAACCCTCCTTCAATACGTCAGCCGCACGCAAAGATTCCATAACTACAACGGTGACATCTTACTCTCTAATCTACAAAATGGGGAAAACAGCGATGATGACGAGAACGAGATTTAGGCCCAGTCACTCGCAGTCGATCTAACTTCACCGAAACCCAAACACCCTCACTCTCACAAACACACATTTCAGCCCGCAACACTTTGACTCGACCAATGATACCAAAACAAGTCATCAATTAAACTGCAAGCTGTAATACTGCAAGCCTACACTAAGCAAGAACAACTCGATTCACTGTGCCTACCAGCCCCAGAGGCGGTCGGGTACGTACAAGGCAACACACGAACCAGGAGACCCAGGACAAGAGATGACAGACGTGCTACACCCTCAGCCGTCGAGCAGGTGGTGGATCCCCAAAACAGCGGGGCGGAGCTCCAGCTGGGCCTTCGGACCGGGGAGCGAGCACTCGGGGTGCGCCTCGGGAGGTGCTGGGGATAACCATGGGAGGCCGGCGGAAATTGGCACTGGGGGCCAAGAGCGTAGTGTAGCAGTCCAATTGTACGAAGCCGCTATGGAACCCGAAAGGGACCCGACAGGCTATAAAAACACTTCAAAAAAAAAAACAATTCATGCAAAAGAAAAGTTGAAGACTACTCAATCGTGCGTTGACAAAAGGTACCCGCCAATCTTTATGAGCTTTTCGTTCAGAGAGACTAGGCAGGCAATACGGTGCGGGTGGTGATCGTGTCGTCGACGACGACGCCGGCAACGATATCGAACGTCCACCCCACCCAACAAGACGAACATCCACACCTCCAAACGCCCTGCGTAAAGTATAGGTTCTCAACGAACACCACGTCGCACTACGAACCTGCCGTCCACTCTCGCCGACGTCTCGAATGCATGCCCGCAACCAATGTTCAAACAACTCCGGACACACACCACCATTGATCCAACCTACTCCAGTCTCTAGTCCATGACCGAACCCCACCCCCTACCCAAGCTCAAACGCCCCGCCGGCGAACCCCAATTTCACAACAATGCGGCGTCCCACTTCCACTCCCACCTCCACTTTCCGTCCTTCCTCCAGAACATTCAACATATAATCGAAGACCACTTGAAGTATTCGCGCTGAGCGTTGAGCTCGAGCTCCCTGGTCCCTCTGCAACCTAACAAATCGGACCTCGGGCCCTCCCATCGCTGAATCTGATCGTGCCATTCAGCCCGGCTCCCTCAAACGTGCCCAGAAGCCCCTTCTCCGAGCCACCCACGCAAATCAGTCAACTCTTGTCCTCAGACCCCTCCAACCGGCCACCTCCGGAAGGAGACAATACCCAAACCCAAACTGTCCTCCGCGACACCGAGCCTGCCAACGCTCCTCGAAAGGCTACCACTCCTCCGACAGCTAACACTCTTCCAACCGCCAACACGCCTCCACGTTCACCCAACACTCCTCCAGCGGGTAATGCTCTTCCAACCTCCCGACACTCCTCTGACCGCCCAACTATTGATCCAACGTCCGACCTTCCTATTCACCAACACCAACGCTAACCCCGCCGCAAAATTCCCGAAATACCGAAACACCAAAGGAAAAGAACGAACCGAAATGACGGACGAACGGAACTCACCAGATCAACCGCGCCAACCCTCGAGCATGTTCTGAACCAGCTGTGCAAGGTAGACGAACACTGTCTGGGCGGAGCAGTCGAGAGCGCTGTTGAATATAAGGGCCTGGGTCATCGCAGCTGCTGCAGCAAGCCAGCGGACCCAGATGAGGCCGAACAACGAAGGCCGAACATCAATACGCTGGAGTGTTGGTACTTTAAATGATGCCGGCGGGAAGGCGCCTCAGTGGAAGTAAGAAGCGGGCTGGTAGTCTTAGTGAACGAGAGTCAAGAAGACACGTTGGCGCTCATGTAGGTGCGGGTGGTGAAAGGAAAGGAAAGGATTTTAAGCGCTGGCAGATCGCGGGCGTGAGCGTAACTTAGATAAGATAAGATAAAATTATTCCATGATTCATCAATATTTTGATCGTGATAACTCAGATAAGCATCTCAACCGGCTTGAAGCTCAGACACGAACTTTTACAACCACCCCAAGGTACAGTCTTGCATTTTCGACTGAAGCGCTAGCGCTGAAGGATAATGCGTTTTCTAGACGCATTTTCACTCAATCAGAACTGATAGATGGCACATTTCATGTGTACAGCCTGCGGCGAGGAGAGACATTTCAGCGTCGAATCTCCTTCTATCCCCTGTGCATCTTGGAGAAACAAAGGCCCGCATTGTCCCCTATGCATCAGAATCAAGCCATTGAAAGATAGGATTGCCCAAACCCGAGCGTTTATGGCGCATCTAGAGGCGCACTGCGCCACTATCATGTCCGGTATCAACACCTTCCACGACCCTTTTACCGCCCTCCTTCCAACAGAACTCGCCTCAAGGATCCTTGGCTTCTGTGTGGATAGCGAACACGATACGGAAATACAAGTACCGCTGGCTCTTTCCGCTGTGTCCAAGAGATGGCGAGCCATAGCACGGTCGACGCCTTCATTGTGGGCTTCTATTCCCCTTCGACTGAATCGTTCGCTTCTGATGCGATCCTGGTACGAGGAGATGCTCCGTGCAATTCTTCAACTCTCAGAAAAGAAGCCATTCTCAATCAACATCAACATCAAAAACAGCGACAGAGGTGATCCGATGCCAGCCCAGTTTTATCGCTCTATGGAGACCCTCAATGCCCACTGGTACCACTGTCGCGACCTCTCCATGGAGATGCCTCTGCATTTACTCAATACCCTTCGTGGTGACTCCCGTGGGGCCCCCGCTCTTCGTTATCTCTCCATTCACATAAATGACAGTGCCGACAACGAGGATATCCACCAGACTGCCAAATTAGACCTCGGAGCCCCTCTACCCGCTCCTGACACCATCTGCCTTTCCTCCTACAATTCCTCATGCGGATTTGACAGGATTAGCGTGGACTGGAGGAACGTCACTAATGCATCCCTTTCCGGCTCGCAGATTCACAAATGCCACGCGCTCTTCATGGCAGCGCCCCAACTCCGTGAGTGTCGCCTCCGCTCCGTCGTTGGCAGCGATTCAAACGGCGGCGCAATACACCCCAACACACGCATCATCCATACCCACCTTACCGAATTGCATGTGCAGATTTTTGCCGATGAGACATCCCTCTTCTTCGAGCCACTTTCGTTCCCATCCCTGAAAATACTGGCATGCGAGACCACCGATCAATCGCTGGACCCTCTCTCCTCGTTCCTTATCCGATCCTCCTGTCCTATCACATCCTTAGCTATCGCCGAATTGCACGAGGACACCATGGCCGTGGACCAAGATGCGTTCCTCAATCTTCTACGGTCCGTGCCGACCTTGGAAGAACTGAAAATATATGGTATCCCCCCGTGCCGTAATTTCTTCGAGATGCTGTCCGACAACAAAGAAAATTCCGCCCGCGAACAAGGACATTTCTTACCGTTATTGACCAGACTTACCTTTGACCAGAAGGCTATCAGCTTCGACATTCCGTGGCCAGAAGTATGCGTTGCCGTCAAAGCCAGGGCCTCTCGCGACCGCGCGGGTCGAGGGATGGGGGTCCTGCAGCAGTTCTGTTGGAGCGTAGCGAACCATGACGGGTGGCATGGCTACTACAACATCGACCAAGGGAGTCTCAAGGTCTTCGAGCAGCTTATCGCCGATGGTCTTGATATCAGACTTATCCGCGAGGGCGAAGATATTGTATTGTATTCCATAGCACACTCAGATAGCCTGTATGGCAAATAAGTCGGAGTCCGTCATCTTATCTTACCGAGCTCGAAAATGCCTAGGATTTCGAATTGTTCTCAGCGACCTCGCCTTCCTACCGATTCGTGGATGATGGAGCAATCAGTATGTTCGGAGGTAGGGCAACAAAGCGGAGTGAAAAAGAAGAAAAGGCCTTGAACGTTGTCCACGCCCCACACGCCTTCAAGACTCGAGTTCCCTCTTCAATCCCCTCTTTAATCTAACATCCCAACCTGTGGATCGTACCTCCCCACCCACCCAAGCTTCTCCAACGCACGCCTGTCGTGTCGTGCAGGTCGTAATATAGTGGACGAGGTGGACGAGAGTGGAGGAAGTGCCAGCGTGGCTGTGCCAGCGCGTGACGAGTGACGTCAGCACGGTTCGAACTTGAAGTGGTTCGACAACGCCGAACCTTTCACATTGACGCCCATCTTACGCCCTCTCCTCTCCTCTCCTCCTCTTCTCTACACGATCGCTCTACGCCTGCTCTCTACGCCACTCACGACCCCCACCATCAAAATATTCCGAATCCGCCGGTATGTCCGCGTGCCAATTCCGTTGATGACTTGCCCGGGTGTCACAACTGTGATGGATCGTGCCAATGCGGTGCGAGGGAGTATAAAGAGCTGACGTGCTGTTTTAGATTTCTCCTCATTCTGCGAATCACCTACAACAGACAGACTAGAGAGCGCCGGCCGCATATCACTCACTCGCACAACGAACGAACGACGAACAACGAAAGAAAGTTGCATTGCATTGTAAGACACCCATCTCACTTCTCGCTCTCCTCTCCTCCCTCCTTTCCTCGAGCAGAACACGAACGATCTCGCTCGCTCCCTCACCCAACCATCCACTGTTGTAACACACCACCACGACCATCATGGACGCTGCAATCCGGCGAGGCCACCCGAGTGCGTACCCCCCCCTCCTTTCTCCTCTCCCTGTCCGCGTCTCTGATCTATCGTCCTGCCACCCCTGCAGTCGTGTTCGGTTCCATCATCGTTTTTTCCATCATCGAGGTGCGTCCTCTCTCCAGCCCTCCTTCCCGCCCATCCACCAACGAACTCCTCCCCTCCCCCAGATGTCAATCTCCGCCTGGCTCACCTCCCAATACACCTCCCTTTCCCCCGCGCCCAGTGGGGCCCTGCGCTCGCGCGTCCACTACATCCTCTTCCTCTCCGTCTGGACCATCCTCTTCTGCGGCGCCTTCCTCGGCGTGTTTTTGGTGAGGAAGGGGAGCGTGCTGGTTAGCGTGGCGGCGCATTTCGTTTTGTGAGTCCTCTTCGAACGTGGTCGTTGTTTTCATCCTCGAGAGATGATGACTGACGTCGTCCCTCCCAACAGCCTCGCCCTAACCTGGATCCTCTGGCTCGCAGCTGCAGCAGCTATCACCCAAACGATCGGCGGCGCGCTCAACTGCTCAACCCAGACGGTGTTCGTGTTCTGCGGCCAGCTGAACGCGCTCGAGGGGTTTGCTTGGTTGATTTGGTGAGTTTCTTTTCTTTGGGTCGTTTTGCTTTTCGATCTTTTCGACCTTCGTTTGTTTCTTTTGCTTCCATCATTCGTTCGTCGTTCGCGGCTTCGTCGTTAGCTCGTTCATTCATTCGATCTTGCCTTGCTTCCTTCCTCTTACTTCCGTCAAATCGGCTTGTTTGGCGCGGGGCGTGGGGCGATTTTGGGGTGTTGTCGGGAAGATGTTTAGGCCCTTGGGTGCTTTGGGGTACGGGGTGGATTGGACGTGTTGAGGTGTTGGACGGCGTTGGATGGGTCGGAGGAGTTGGACGGGTCGCGGGTGTTGGACGGGTTGGACGGGCCGGAGGCGTTGAGGTGTTGGTCGGGTCGGAAGGTCGGATTGGAAGAGAGGTTGGATGACCCCGAGGGAAGTGGCGTATAAGAGCGGAGAAGGGCTTTGGAGGTGTGAGATGGAGGTGCAATCGTTCGATCGTTCATCTGAGGATGGGTGAGCTCGGATTTCACCTTGGATTTTGAGAGCATCGTTGGAGGAGGCGGAGGCCGGGGCGGGCGGTGGCGGCCTGTTGGAGTTGGAGTCGTTGGAGTCGGAGGGAGGCGATGGCGAGGGGTGTATAGAGTTGGAGTTTCTTGCACTCGCTGCCGTTGGGAGGTTGGCTCGCCCTGGGTTGGAAGGGTCGGTCGACGTTGAGCTGGCACTCCAGCTCCAGGCCGTCGTTGGGCGGTGTTGGCGTTGGGTTGGCGTTGGTCGACGTTGGCTTTAATCCAGCGGCGCTCGACGTCAGGGTCAAATGGTGTTGCGAGATTTGGAATTGGGTTCGGTCGTTGTCAGGTGTTCGCGTTGCGTTTGGGTTTTTGGTGCGGGTGGATGGTTGGATGTAGATGGTTGGACGATGGCGATGCCAATTTCGAGATGGATTAGGTTCATGAGGAAGCGCGAGCAATGCGTTCCCCCTCGCCTCGTTGGGCCCGGTCATTGGTCGGTGGTCGTGTGGCTGGTCAATATTCAATAGTCGACATCATTGTCGACACCTGCCTGTCTTTCCTCTTTCGTCGTTGTTCTTTCTCTCGCCGACCTTGCTACCTGAGCCGCCGTCGTCCCATCTTCTCGTCCTCTCGCTCCTCTCTTTTTTTCTCTCTTTTTTCTTTCTCTTTCTTCGTGCCTTCTTTCCGCTATGTTCGAACCCACGTTTTCTCTCTTCTCTTGTCTTCTCTGTCATCCTTCTCATCCTTTCATACATTCTTTTTTCTTGTTCTCTTCTTTTCTTTCTACCTTCGCTCCTCCTTTCCCCGTCCTTCCTCCCTCCTCCTTCAACATTCCACGAACACGAACGCTGACTCCACTTTTTCCTCTTTACAGGGTAATGATCACATTCTCCCTCGTCCTCGTCCTCGTCCGCGGGATACAATCTGCGAAGCGGGGGGATGGGTATGGGGCTGGGTTGGTTGATGCTTGAAAGACTTCTTTTGTTTTCGAACGACGCTCTCCGCGGCCGCACCCACCAGCTCGATTCCTGAACTCCCTCAAGCCGAAAACAAGTCCGATACTTCAATATATCTCCACTCCGACACCCGAACGAAATACTACGATGAGCCCATCACGAACATGAAGGACGGAGGATGCGATACGATGAGGACCACGAAGGCCATGGAATACGCCACGAGGTCCATCGACGTTTCTGTACCATACTCCTCTCCTCCCTCTCTTCGCGCCCTGTGCATCGTCTCCTTGCCCCGTCCCTCCATCCACGATTCATCCCCTCCACCCTTCATCGCACGGACGTTTCATCCCTTGTTGATAATCCCTAGCTCCTAGTTCTTACTTACTTTTAGTACTTCGTATGTAGTGTTCTGTCAATGTAAATCTGTTTGTTCTGTTGTTCGTAAGTGGGACGTAATGTTGAGTTGAATTGATGTTGAAGGGTGAGGTCGAATGGGGTGTTGAATTGGTTGAGGGTGAGGTTGAGGTCGGGAGGGTGGCGTCGTTGGGAATGAGCCCCAGCCGGGTTTTGGGATGGGCGCAGTCGAGTATTTCTTCACGATGCGACGATCACAATCCACCTGTACGTTTCTCCGGATGCGGTTATATAGGACACTTCGACTGACTCATTTGGACTGACCTTCTGTATGTGATTTGTGTACAGTGGTTGCAAGTTTCATGTCTCGTTCACGGATGGCTTCCATTGCTTCTACATACCCTACAAGTAGGCCGATTCAGATAGGAGGAGACAGCGTTATCTGACTTGCTCGAGACGAGCCGGGAGGCAGGAATTGTTTAAAAGATATAATAATACCTCGTAGCATCGAGATACCCTGTTCAGGCCCCGCGCATGGACCCAGTAGGATGATCCAGAGCCTTATACTCTCATGATAAAACCCAGAGCTCAAGTCGAGTGTTCAGGGAGTGAAAAAGTGTTTTACAACTTCAAGCCGAGGCTGGTCTCACGTCAGGATCGATTCTAGAAGTCGCGCTCTGATTTCCCTCCATCAGTGCGTCCGAGGCACACCGCCACCCGTCAGTGCTCGGCGCCTAAAAAATAACGTACCCCCGGGACCCTTTCAACGGGCTGGAAGAATTTTTTTTTGTGCACAATGACCAGGTGAATGCGCCATGCACGCGATAGGGGTCTGCGCGGTTCTTTTGGTAAGTCCAACACTCTCTGTTGCGGTCCTGTGTCTCTCTCTTCTGTCTTCTATTTTCTTCGCTGCTCGAGATTTTCGTGCCGGTGTTTTGGGAATTTGAGGGGGGGGCCTGGGTGTTGGAGGGATCGCGGAGGGCGGTGTGTGCGGTTCAATCTGCGGACCGGGGAGAAGGAGGGACCGCGTTAGGCTTGCGAGGATCACAATCTTAGTCTGTTTGGAGTTAAAGTTAGGCTGGATTGTGCGTTGGAATGGGATTAGATGGTACCACGCTAGGCGGTTCACCGTTGGGCCTGCAGACAAAACACTGCGGTGTACTTGTTTAAGCCTTTTTGGTAGTCGACCGGGGTCAATCGCTCAATTTGGCCAAGTCAGGGGCCTGAACATGCTTTCGGCGCTTATTTCAGATAGCGGAGTACGATAGAACTGCCACCAGGGATTCGAAAAGATATTCTACATATCCCAGGTGACATCAGCATTCGACTCGGATCGGAACTGAGTACTGAAGACTCATTCACATGCCAATCATAATTTCATTGCATGCCCGAACGAGGATAGCCTCGTGTCTTCAGCGCGGTGGGCAGTGAAGGGCAGTACCCGTCTCTTCTTCCTACTTCCACCACACCGATGGCAGAGGTTGGTGGTGCAGCCATTAGCGCTGTGGCCAACCTCGCTGCCTCAACCTTCACCCATCTTGTCAGGCTTTCTTCTCGACATGATCATTCCTACAACAAGCAAGCTGCGGAGACGGACAGATTGTCTCGGAGTTTGGAAGACTTGCACAGGAAGGGAGAGGTAGACGAGGAGCAGTATGACCAGTATAGGAAGATTAAGCAGACGTACTTGCCCCATGGCCTTTTCCTGTGGTTCTTGGGCCTGACCCTTTCTATCCCTCCTTTTTTTAGGGCGCTATAATCAGGCAGAGATTGTCACGATAGCATTCAGGCATGCAGAGACGTAAGCCCGCGGAGGCTCTCGACAAAATTCCAGACGAAGACTTTAGTTCGAAAGGCGAAAGGAAAGATGCGAGAGGCAAATCACACTCTCCGGGAGCATTATCAGGTATGTGGCCTGACATTGTCGAGTATCCTGTGCTAAAGACTAAACGCTTACATAGGGCTCCGCGTCGGGGGGCTCTGAAGTGCCGTCGATCGCTGCAGATTCTGGCTCACCACCTGGTTCGGCCCTTGAGAGTGAGAGGATAAGAGACTGGGCAACGGATGTTGAGCAGAACGAAAATGCAGCCGATGAACGTAGCCAGCACCAAGATCCCTGCCCTTCCGAACACATAGAATCGCCTTCCACAACATCTCTTATCGACACTTCCTTCCTTAGCTCCTCAGCACCCGCACTATTCATGCACGATCCAGACACTACAGAGGAGGACCAGAAGGTGTATGCTCACCGGAATAGCGGGTCAATAAGTCGCCGCCAGGGTGCGCGGCGTGCCGATGAGATTACGAACCTGGAGAAGAAGAACAGTTACCTGAAGCGTCAGGCGCGGCGCGGGACAATCCTTGAAATTGCACGGCTAATATTCCCCGCCTCTCCATCCGAGCCACAGCTCCACATCCAGCAACAGGCACCAACGACCCGCAACGCAGCCGCTTCCCATGAACCGAATCCGAATCCGAATCTCAGCGCCGTTCAGGCCTTCAATAACCCGACACCGAAGTCGACACCCCAGTCCAAATTCACCGTTCGAACAAAGCTCAAGTTCAGTTCGAGATTGTACAACCTCAGACCCAAGCCAACGCCGAAGGGAAAGCCTGCTACTCGACAACGCCCACACCGAACCCAGTGTCGGACCTAGCTCCTTAGGACGTCGAACCTCGCAAGGCCCACTTCGATTCCAACTGTTGACCGCCGACCGCCGACTGACGACCCTCATACATCCTCTCCTACGCGCCTCTCAAACCCAACTCCAAGCCCAAGCCCAAACCCAAACCCTTCCTCCTCTCCTCTCCTGAATGCTCGAACACTGATCACACCGAGCCAAACCCATCCAGAATTGCCCACAATGCAGGCGTGCTACGGCTCGCCATCTCTTGGACACAGCAGAAAGTGCCAGCGGTACTCGTTTTTCCGTTGCGCCCTCGCTATCCACACAGAAACAAAAGATCTTTAAGGCGAGTTCTGTCGGAAGGAGGGCGGTAAAAGGGTCGTGGAATGTGTTGACACCAGACGTGATAGTGGCACGGTGCGCTTCGAGATGCGCCAAAAACGCTCAGGTTTGGGCAATCTTATCTTCCAATGTTTTAATTCTGATGCATTGGGGACAAGGCGAGGCTTCGTTTCTCCAGGATGTGCAGGGGATAGAAGGAGATTCGATGCCGAAATGTCTCTCCTCGCCGCAACAGTCAGGCTGTACACGTCATCTATAACGTCGTAGATGAAGTGAAAATGCACTACAGTCCTTCAGCGCTTCAGTGCTTCACTCGTCAATGCAAGATAGTACCTTGGGTGGTTGTATAAGTTCGTGTTCGAGCGTCAAGATGCGAGATGCTTATCTGAGTTATCACGATCATAATTTTTACCCACGGGATGTCGGCCCGAGGCCAGCGCCTAAACCATAATGTGGTGCTACCCGCACCGGTACCTTGCATCCTGCAAGCTTGAAGTTCTGCGTGTTGGGAGTTACACCTGCGCTTAAATGCAAACCATAACAAGCTTTCCCAGTTATTTATGTACGTATGTCAACTCCAAGTACAACCCCATTTCTCTCATTTCTTTCAGGTTCGCTTTGATATTCGCTGTTTCAACTTTCCGAAGGCTGTGCCTAGGTTAATGTTCTTTTTGTTTATTCACAGTTCAACTCTGATCGAACGTGAGGATGCTCCCATACTGTAAAGTCTTAAACGGCAAAAATGTAAAACGTACTTAATACACGCCTGGAGCCGCAGACTTGAAAGCCGCGTGCTCGTGGTATCGGCGCAGTGGACTGTGGGCAACGTTGGGATCGAACTTCGAATTCTTGTCGTAATTTACTTCTCGGCGCTCGCTTAGCCACGGATGGGGTGAATGAGGTGCATGGCGTGAATGAGCAGTAGTAGCGTGCCTTAGAAGACGCAGATGAGTGCTGAGCGCTGAGCGCTGAGCGGCGGCGGTGATTTTATACTACATATGTATATACAATTGGCATATGCGACGCAGCAGGCCGTGACACGCTTCTTTCTTATCCTAAGTACCCTAGAGCGACATGATATCAGTTGTTGCATCTGAATCTTTCACCCCACCACAATGACGTGCACGCACCAGCACCAACGCCCCGATCTTCTATTCTTCATTGTTCAGCGCCGGTGATGGATGTCTCGAAAAGACAACAATAACGCGCCATACATCACCTTCCCTGGCCCTCTTGGGCCACCAGGCATTATTGTTCTCCGCCACTCTGCAGAATCGTGGCCGGGCGCTTGGACGTTGTCCTATTTTGGTTATCGCGCATGCGTTGCTGGGCCACAAGTGGCCCAAGCGGCGCTCCCGTAGGGTATTTAAGAGCCGGCTCAGACCGTCCATTCTCCAGGCTCCCTTCCTTCCCATCTCCCAACATCTCTCTCCTTCCTCGGCTCTTCTCCTCATGAAATCGCGGCCTTCCACGAGCCTGGTGCGACTAGACTCTGTTCTGCCGGACCCGCAGATACCATGCCCAAGTAATGGGCACTGTATCGCAGTCCGCCATCACAGCAATCTCAGAAGCACCAGGTTCCTCGCGGGCGTGGTTTCGTGTGGCCTTATAACGGAACCGTTTCCTTAATTTCTGTGCAAGTATCCTTATCAACTCACGTTTCCCCCTTCGCGCGTACGTGGATGGGCTCGAATGTCTTCCCGAATTTAAAGTATAAATTGCAGTTCTAGTCAAGCGGATATCGGTTGCTCGAGAGGCGTTGAATGAGACATAACTGCGCCTCAATGAAAGTATTTACATTCCTGTTGTGATAATTGGACCGAGTCGATTACTTTATTGACGTACACAGTTCGAATTCGAGTGTACTTCTACGTGTCAACCAACCAACCAACCATTGCTCCCCCCCTCCATCCGTCCCTTTTCGTTTCGCTGATCGACTACGCTAGATGTGTACGAATATAGTATGATATAGCGTTCGTATTTGAGGTGTGAATGGATAGATGGATTCCGATGGCCCAATGGATGGAGGAGAGCGAGGCGAACGGGGAAAGATTCAAGAATAACAGCGAGAAAGCAAGAAAGAGACACTGACTGACGGAAGCCCGAGGAAGGAAAACGTCAAAGAACGCGCGGAGGATGAAGAATCCGAGAAGGAGAGGAGCAGACGGCAAGAGAAGTACTTAGAGGCGGAGGAGGGAAATGACGTCGTCCGTCGTCAATCACGACAAGGCAGATATAATGAATTATGACGATGCCTGACAGCAGCCAGCCACAAAAGACGACCAACAAAAGACGACGGAAGATGACAGGCGTCGGCCGAGCCTGACCTATGTAATTATAACATGTCGCACAGCACGCACCCAAGCGCTGAGTCGAGGGCGACGGCGTCCCAAATCAAAAATTACTGACAGTGAAAGTCAACAGAGGATCGAATTTACCACGAAACAGACCGGCCGCGTTCCGCCCCAAACCAAAGACTGCGCCACTCACTCAACGTCAACGTCAACGTTCACATCACTTCAACTTGAACGCTGAAAGGACTTAGGAGCCTGTCTTGACAAGTTCCTCTCATCCTCTTCCTCGCTTCGTACCATGGAACAAAGACAAAGACAAAGGTCATCGCACTCCCACGTCCCTGCAAGTCCCAAGTCGAATGCCCACCCGGCCCGCCAGCGCAGCACAGCGTAAAGGACACATCGAGACCCAAAGCGCCGTTAGAGGCGTGTGCCCATCCGAACAACACCGGGCCAACGTCCCACTGCCGACTCCCACTACCGACTCCGCCTCGACGACGGCCGCGGGCGGCCTCTGCCCATCCCCATCCCCATCCTCTCCTCGCTGAGCCGAGCCCAGAACCTAAACCAGAACCTCCGACGCAAACGCAACCGCACCCTTTGAAAGCCGGCACAGTAACCAAAATGTCGAACAAGCCACAACGAAGCGAAGCCGAAAGCAACGAAAAAAGAAAAAAAAAAAAGAGAGAACGACAGAACACCAACACCGGACACCAGACGCCCCCAAGCCCAAAAACTGGAAGGACAAGAACGAGAACAAGAAAGAACACGAAGGAGATGCACCGAACCGCACCAAACAGACCCGTATTATAAAGCGGACCGTGCGCGTGCCCACTCGAATTCAGGCGTCGGGCGTCGGGCTCGGGGCTGTACAGTGACACAGCAAGTATTGTGAAGCTGAGAGACGAGACACAGGAAGGGACGCTCGGAAGGGAAGTATGGAGGGAAGTGAGGAGGGAAGTGCACGTGGAGGGAAGGGGCGATAAAGAACTTGAAGTGGGGAAGTGAGGAGGGAAGGGGGGATAAAGGATAAATCGATAAAGACGTGGGGAGAGAGAGTGGGGAAGGAGAGGGCGGGAGGAGGACGAAAGGGGCGATAAAGAAGTCAGGGCGGGCGTCCACATCGAAATATGCGATGTAAAAAAGAAAGGAAGAGAAGGGAAGAACAAAAGAACACCAACCCCCCACCCCGCAACCCGATAACCAAAACACATAAATGCCAGAACGAAACTCACTGAATCGACCAATCAACCAAGGCAAGCTTAAGCTTGAGACCCTCCGGGGCGTCCAGCTGTTGACAGTACAGTGGGGGTGACACTGTGGGAAGACGGGAACTAGGAAGGGAAAAGGGGCGGGTCAGCAAGGTCTGGGAGGCGAAGAAGGGGAGTGAGGAAGTGGCGCGAGGAGGGCGGGATGAAGGAGGGTGGGAGGACGGAAGGAGAGGGTGGGAGGGCGGAAGGAGAGGGTGGGAAGATGGTTGGGAATAAAAGACAGGAGGAAGGGGAGGGGCGCGAGGAGGGCGAAGAAAGCGACGGGATCTGGGAGGAATGTGCTCCGCGATGGGCGGGCGGGGCTGACACCCGTCGGAGGGAGCTAAGGAGGTACGGACGACAAATGGGGGTGAAAGGATCTCGATCGGGCGCACTGTGGGCTCGAAGGGAACAGCGCAGACACAGCTCGATGAGATACACGGCGCAGGTGCTCAGATGACCGCCGTTGCGTCGGACATGCTCGAGTGGTGGTGTTGGTGGTTTTGGTATGTTGGCATCCGAGTCGAGCGGCGCGGAGTTGGAGTTGGAGTTGGAGTTGGAGTTGGAGTTTGCCAAGGGAAGGGAAGGAGGGGAGCGAGGGCTTGGGAGGCCGGAGGAGACGAAGAGACGTTTGGTGTGTGGTGTGGGAGGGGCGGGGACGGGGGCGGAGGCCGGAGGCCGGAGCGGACACGTTGACTTGTGGAAGGGAAGGAGAGAAAGGTTGCAACTCTACGTATGCGATAGCGTCGATAAGATAAGATAAGATAAGATGGGATATCCCACGCCACAGACGCGACTGACTCAGACTCGAACCCCCCGAGTCTCTCGACCTCACCGGCCTCCCCCCAACCCGATAGCGGACACGCACAGCCTTCCGTCTGCCGCACCTTAGCCTATACCCTCCCAGCCCATGCCCGCACATGTTCCTGCGTCATCTAATGCCTTCGACATGCCTGATGCCTCCGACGATATCTCCTCCTCCTCCTTCGGTTCCTCCTCTCGTTGTACGTCCATCCTCCCATGGGCCGGGATCCGGGTCCATCGTCACCACGTTGCCTGTCATGGATGTTGAGGGTATGGCGTCGCCATGTTCATTTGTCGGACCCTCTACGATAAAGTGGGGCCAGAGAGTGCGCAGCCAAAAGAACTACAGCCGACGCTAAAGGATACGCTGAACTCCTGGTCGCCGTTCAGGCAATGAGAGAGTAGATTTTACCCCTGACACGACAAGTAGCGCCCACCCTGTCGCTGTACGGCGCTGCTTTAGGGCTTGGGTTTTTTTATATCGGAGCTATGGATCCACTGCACATCGACACATCCCCACCGGATACTCTGGAGACAATAGGAGGATGTATCCTCCATTGCACAACCTCTATTTGTTTTCCCTTCACACTGGAACACTTGATAGAAGGAGGTGATCCGTTCTTTCCAATCCACCAATGTTTTAGCTTTTCATAAATAATACCTATTCAATATGTCAAAGGGACACTGGCCTTGCAGTAAATTAGCCAGTATTTTGTTTCTTGATCTGCAATGGAAGGTACGTCGAGGGGTGTGGATGTGTGGGGTGGGGATGGACAAGAGGCGGCTAGAGCGCGAGAAAGAGCAGCGACAGATCAAGAACTTAAGAGCAGCGCCAGATCGAACAAGAATTAATTAACAGCGCCAGATCCCGAAAAAATGTCGGCAAGTATGAAAGATCTAGAGAAGCCCAAAGAAGATAGAAATTCGCCTCCTCGTCATAGAGCGCCAAGGCTAGATTAATTATAAGTACGGGATACGGGATGGGAGAAGACGTGCACTGTGGTCAGAGTTGGCCACTGGGGCTCACTGCGAAAGAATTTAAGCAGCAGAGGGAATAAAGATAGAGGGCGAGAGAATTTAAAGGAGATATAGAGGAGCTCGAGCAGGAGGAGCAGGAGGAAACAGGAAAGCAAAAAGGTGGGGGAGTGGTCATCATGTCGTCGATACCAGCCAAAAGGCCACCACCACCAAAGACGACTGAACAGCCGAGATGGAAGACGTCGACGGAAGACGGAGGACGAGGGGGGGAAGAGGGCAGACGCGGACGAAGGACGATAGGTGTAGAGCCTCACTCACATAGCCTCGCCCGGGTGCAACACCTACCACACAACGAACTCGCACCCGACTCCGGATCCCAAGTGGCTCGAGGGCGTCGCAGGTCTAGGGTGAGGGCAAGGGCGGACGCGCGGACGGCCCATCAAGAGTCTAACCTAGTCGATGTTCAACAATGCACGTTTGCAATTGAACCTCCGGCGGAGCGGCGAGCCGAAAGGAACCTCTCGAGTTCTGCCCCGCTTCGCTTCGTACCGTCCGACCCAAAGCCACCCACATATCATAATGGTCCGGCCTAGTTCCCCAGTCAAATGCAAATGCAAATGCCAGTGCGCATGCGCACCCCGGCCTGCCAGCGCACAAGGACCCGAACTGCAGTTACATAAGTAGAGGTGTCTGAATCCTGATGCACCTCCATATCCATATCCAAAACACGCCAGCATACAAGCACCCGAGTCGGTCGGCGACCAGGGGCCAACAGTCAACATACATTGGACGTCTACCAACTGGCAACCTTAGAGTAGTACGTCCGACGCCGGCGTACCTACGCAAGCGTTGAGAAACCAGCGTGAAAAGCGCGAATCACGACGAAGCGAAAAGTGAACGGAAGAGAGGAAAAGGATAAAAGAACGTCAAATGCGAATCGCAAAACCAAAAACACAGGGACATAAGGGCGTCCAGCCGTCCACAGTAAGGTGGGTGACGACGTGAGTAGGTAGACGAGACCTAGGAAGAAGGGAGGGTGGGTCAGCAATGTCTGTGATGCGAGGAAGGGAAGGGAGGAGGGAAGGAGTGCGGAGGGAGAGGGGGCGAGTCAGCACTCCAGCAAGGCGTGGGAGGCGAGGGGGGATGCAGAGAGGGAAGCAAGGAGGGAAAGGAGGGCGTGAAGATGGTTAGAGAAATCGTTCGCTCTTGGTATGTGTATGTTTCAGAGGGGGGGAGCAGGCCCGGGGGAGGTACGGAGAGATAGGTGCCCACCCGGAATGCGTATGGTTCAAGTCCGAGTCTGAGTCTGGGAGTCGGATGTCGTGTCTGTGGTGTGGGATAACCCCTTATCTTATCTTATCGACGTCATCGCGCACCAGCTGGCGGATTGATCGGCCTTTCTCTTATGTCCGCTCCGCCCTCCATTCACACTACACACCAAGCGCATCCGTCGACGTCGACAACACCGGTACCGCCTCCGTCCTTCCCTTGTCAGACTCCAACGTCCAACTCTACACAGCTCTACTCTCGACGGCAACACACCAAAACCACCACTCGAGCGTGTTCGACGGTTGTTCCGCTCCGCAGCTGTGTGAGCATAACACACGACGCACGGTGCACTGAAGTCCGCTCCAACCCGGGTTGGGCTCTGGAGTCCTAATTAAGCACTGGCAGGGGGTATCAGGGGATGAGGCTCAGGATGTTGAGGAGGGAACCAGGCCATGGAATCGGACTGAGCGCGGCGCAGGCGTATCGACATCATCGTTCCTATCATCGAGGTGCGTGCTGCTCCCTCCCTCGAGTTCGGCCCTCCCACACCCTCTCGGACCTCGCCATCCGTACCTCCTCCCTCCTTCCCACCCTTGCCCCCTCCTTCCCACCTTCCCTACTACTAGG